CATAATTTTTGGCAAGTTGCTGACAGGAGCGCATCCTCGACCGGCTCCTCCGATGGCTTCTCCTCGATGGGCTCTGGAGGCTCCTCCGATGGCTTTTCCTCGATGGGCTCTGGAGCCTCCGCAGGCTCGTCCTCAGTGGGCTCAAGAAGCCCCGACACTTTTTCCTCAGAGAGCTCCAGAGGCTCTTCAAGTTGGATCTGGGTTTCAGCGGCGTCCATCGCAGAACCTGTCAAGCTTAATGGGGGAGCAGGAACAGAAGGCAAGGTATCCGTCGGGGGAGTTGCACGAAGTCGAAGGGCAGCTTCATGGCATTTCTGTAGTTCATGCAATCGACGTAGAAGTACATCCTTTTCCGGGTTGATCGGAGGGGCTTCCTCTTCATCTGAAATAGCAATGCACTCGCCATCCAAAGACTCCTGCGATCACGCAGCTAGTGTAGAATCCAGCATGCATCCCAACTGCATTTTATGATTTAACAATTTACTATGAATCCTCTGGGGCATCAGTCTCGCCGATATGTAAATTGCCATCAAAAGCATCGCACAGCGAAGACAAAGATCCCAGATGCTCGTAGGACTGAGTCGCGACCGGAGCAGGGGGAACTTCAACCTGGGGTGGATTGCAGGACCGCATCTGCGGCGTGGCAACGGGGCGGCCTTCCCGCCGCTCAGAAGCAATCTTGGAGGCCTCGCCCAAAGGGAGGGTATCAAGAGGGAGCCCATCCCCCCCAATATCCCCAGCATCCATCAAAGCATCCTCTTCCCGTTCATCCTCTGACTCAGAATGCTCCTCCTGCACATCCATGAGGTCCACGGGCGCCGGCTCCAGCACCTGCGTTGCGGCGTGAGAAAGGAAAAGGATAGGATGCGCGAAAGAGCTTACTATGCCCCAACCCCTCCTACCTCGGGCTCTTCGGATGGTTCGAGATGCTCTCGGACCGTTATTTCATAGCCAAAGGCAAGGAAAATCTCGGCCATTATCTCATCCTTGGGTCACAGAAACTACGATTGTACAATAAAGGCAAGGGCTCATGCTACCATAATCAAGTCCATTACAGTCTAAGTTTGTAGGCATCTTTGACAGCAGGGATTTGACCAATGTCATGAGTTTTCGCAGCGTCTAGGCATCCATGTGGGTGTCGCCCGGGGTCAAATCTTCCCGGCAACAAGTCTGGAAGAACCGCTCCACCTCATGATAAAGATAATCCACCTGTGGCACCGTCTCCGGGCCGTTGGCCGCCCAGCGCTTCATTGCCGGAATCAACACATCTTTGTTTTGGCGGCAATTGTGCACCGAACGTTCCACAAAATCAGGGGACGGCTTAGTGTCATCCTTGCAAAGCGGATGCGGAATCAGCAAATGCAATCCCTTGCGCATGCGTTCCCTCAAGAGTGGGATAGCCTCCCACTCTTCAGCGAGCCCCGCCCACCAAGAAGTCTGATCAGCCGTGGCGGCAAGCTCCGCTACAGGCACGATAGCCA